GGTCAATACGAAAGTAGAAACCCTGAATATGACAGGAAGCTCAGGAAGAACGTGGAACGTGAGTGAAATTGCATAGCCTAATTATAACTAGAAGCTCGAAAAACCATACCCTGTTCAGCAGATCATCCCCGTATAGTCCATATATGGGAGTACCCTCCCCCCCCCCCGGGGGGGACATAATGCCCCATAGTGGCTACGTCTCTACGAGGCAGTAGCCACAAAAATCRTATAGTGGTTCGATCGACCAGCCAATTGGACCGTCAGAATTTCTAGATGTGAGTTGAGCGTTGTGTGCATAGAATATTAAATGTAGTGGCAGTGCGTGTGAGCGAAAAGTGCCCTATATTAGTGCGAAAGCGCTAGAACGACTAGACACTTAAAAAGTGATTTATTTATCACTCGGTGAATTCTCGGCCAGAAATCGTTAACCCCGACAAGTAATTTGATCCGCCGTAGGGCGAATGTCAATCGATCATTGTTATCGTGCACGTCTGTACGTCTCGTGTGACAGCCGATCTTGCAACATGTATTAATATGTTGTACAACTAGAGCAAACCCAATTCCTTTGAATAATAAGTACATAAAGTGCGCGATGGATAACAAATCGTTTGTCTCCGATGACCATCTGGCTCTGAAAACTCCAGAAACTGTACGACGAAATACATCAAGTAAACCAACCGCAGAGGATTCAGAKATATGCGTTCCGACCTCCAAGTCATCCAGCGCTCTTAAGCCCGAAGTTGGACTCATAGGAGGAATATCATTGATTATTGGGACCATGATTGGTAGCGGAATATTTGCTTCTGCAAGTGGAGTGTTTTCTAAAGCAGGATCGCCCGGGATGGGGCTCGTAACTTGGACTTCATGTGGAGTGATTTCGATGCTTGGAGCTCTGTGCTACGCAGAGTTAGGCACCACTATCGTCAAGTCTGGCGCCGAGTACGCGTACTTAAAAYTCTCGTTCGGGAATCCCGCAGGGTTTTTGTACGCGTACACATCGATGATACTCCTGAAACCTTCACAATTGGCCATCATATCTCTTGCGTTTGGACAATATATCATAGAGCCTTTCTTTCCTTTGTGTTCGATTYTGAGCCCTAATCGTGTTGATCTGAATATTCTGGTGAAAATCTTGGCCGCTTTCTGCATTGGTAGGAGTTTTACTCTCATCTCTTAACCTTCTAATGTCTTGTTATTTAATTGTTTTTAGTTATTTTAAACTAGCAGTTTGTTTATTGTATTATTGAACTTATTTGTCTGGGGTCGTAGCTTTTGACACTAAAGTCGGGACTACTTAAACATTTTGGAAATACTTTACAGAATCCTATAGTAGTAGTCAATTTGGAAATACTTTACAGAATCCTATAGTAGTAGTCAATTAAAGCGGCTTTTTATTTCTTCTAAAATAGCTTCAATACGGCAAGTCCTTCCAGAAACATCTCTCAATAATTCCAACATTAATTTAGGCAAAACGTAAGTGCCGGGATATGTGATACATCTTTTTGAACTCTACTCGTGGATAMGCSAARCGTAGAAACGARTTATTGTGAGGGGTCTGAATATGCAAATGTRKCACWCACTCCTTGRCRTTATCTGTATAAATACACACCCCAAATATTGATCGAAATGTCTTATATATTTTGTTCTCGCTTGTTTTACAGCTATCATCACCTTTGTAAACTGTTTCAGTGTACGATGGGCAACTAGGATGCAAATCATTTTCACGGGCTGCAAACTGCTGGCCATTGCTATGCTCGTGATTACTGGACTTGTACGACTCGGACAAGGTAAGACTTACTTCTAGATCGATAAATTAAACCAAAGCATTTTACAAAAAATAAAATGAGCTTGTACTTCAACTACCGCTGTGATTGAGGATCCGCAAGGTTTCTAATTTCTA